CCGAATCCTATCTGATATAAATATGGTGCAAAATAATTCTATGCAACGCCCAGTCAGCTGCTGTAGGCGATCCAATTTGACATATATATATACTGTATATATATATTTGAAATTATTGTGACTAAGGTGGAATATGTGACATGCATGCATTGAAGCTTTAACAATAACACCTGACATTTTATGGATACGTATACATTACGAGGTTTTAACACGCAGACAGCTCAAAAAACTTGTTCTTAGAATGTAATTTGTAACCATCCGAATGAGTGTAGAATTATATATTTTGCATTATAGGTAGGTTTTGTTAAAACGTTCGTATATTTAACATCATTCACAAAGGTATATTCTGAACAGTTCTATAGAATCTTATGAAAGTTCTTTGTCTATTTTTATAAGTATTGTTTTGTTGGGTAATAAGACACCTTAATTGTTCTCAGAAATAAATTTAACAACATATCTATTCTGAATGAAAACCTTAAATCTTTTCAAACGAGGTCTATTTTGGGTCAGCTGAAAAGTTGAAGTATTTTTGTCACTGCAACTATCAATTGTGCATAGCGATTTTAATGTTAATTGATATTTAACTCATCATTAATATCTTGCAGCAGACCACGACCAACTGTGTGCGTCGGTATGACAATCAATCACTCCATCCCTAACGTAATATGAACTTCAACGTAGATCTGCAGTGAAACAATGTTATTCCTGAGACGCCGACCAAGAAGAAAACACCCCACGCAGCACCTATGATTCTTGCATTGTCACGAGTGAACTTAGCCTAGTAGCCGAGAATTCGCCATGAGAATACGACAAGCAGAGCCTTATAAATAATCAGCAGTGTTGGCAGGAATACATTCAGACAATACAGTTGAGACGTGTTTACATTCTTCTGCTCATTGGTCGAACAACTGTTTTGAGAATAATAGAAAGGACATGTATGTCAACTCTGCCCAGGAATTAGGGTCGTCTGTGGTGTTTGTAGAATGACTCATTATGTGGAGGTTAATATCATCAGTCTGCCATCGGGGATTAGACAAGCATATCAATCTCCCCTGCAAACAACGGTCAGTGGAGAGGTTCTTCGACAAAGGCTGTACGTCAGATTACCTTTTTCAAACACTAATGAGAACGATGATTAACACCATTCTTGTTCAAAGTGTCGATCATATATACCTCAATTGTTTTTTTGCTTAACAGGAGATCTACAGAATTAATTACCTGGACCACCGGAGTGTGTACTTTTCGGTAATGTTGGAGACAGAAACTAATTTGTAAACAAATCCTTCAGTTATCAACTGCCTACGTCTTGACATGAACGCTAGCTGCTTCGTACCATACATTTCCCTGAGCTAATCAGTATGGATACGTCCAGCTGGATACCTTAATGTAAGTTGAATATACCGAATGTCATATGAAATATAAGTGAGTGATTTGGGTTTAACGCCACTTTTAACAGTATTCCAGTTATAATACGGCTTGTCAGCTTAATGTGGGAGGAAAGCCCGAAGTGATGCAGGTCTCAGATGTTTACCACTTCGATGAAAGCCACAAGCACGGATATGGTGCGACACACCTAGAAACACAATCGGTGCGAACCGGGATTCGAACCCACAATCATAGGTTTCTGGCGTGCCCAAGGGACGCAACTCTGCACAGCGAATCGCGGCGCCTTAGACGACTGGGCCACCAGCGCCCCCGTCATATGAAATAACACCAGAGGAATAAATGAGCAGATGCTTGCAAAGCAACCCTTGAAGCTTGTCTCCTTAGCAATAGCCAAGATTGTTCATGAAAACCGATTAGAACTGATTGGTTAAGGTTCTAATTACCTTTCTACAAATAAATGCAAAATAAATAAAAGGGACAAAACCCCTTCCACAATCTCTGCTAAAAAGAGTCCATTGTATGATGCCAACTGTATCACGAGCATGCGTTTATGAACCACAAACAAATGGTCAAGATACCAGTTTAATATTCCTAAACGTTGTTAATTTAGCAAATGTCCTGTCAGTCACGTAACTATAAATATATTTTGTTTATTCACTTGCACTTTGGCCACAAAGCCGAAATACAGTGACTGAATAAACACGTCTGTGTCTGTCAATCTGTACTAGGTGTTCGCGAAACACCTTGTAATATTATGCGAACAATGCAGCACTATCTAAACAATGCCTGTCGGGAAATGAAAAAGACATTCTTTTGTATTAGGTCATGAATATCGGCTTCAGGATAGGGAACTATCATGGCTGATCAAAGTGACAAAAAAATATGAAAATTATTTCTTTTCAAGTAACTGTTGCTTTCGTTTTTTTTGGTTTAACACAGTGTATTGTTATTTAGCGTCGCACTCAGCAATATTCCAGCTATATGACGGCGGTCTGTAAATAATCGAGTCTGGACATCATGATCTACGCAATTGGGATCGATGACATGCATCAACCAAGTCAGTGAGCCTGACCACCCGATCCCGTTAGTCGCCTATAAGCATAGTCGCCTTTGACGGGTTGCTGAAGACCTATTCTAGCACGGGTATTAACGCAGTGTAAATAAACCATTACATCTTGTTTCTCTCACTGCTAAGTTTATACTGAATGACCACGGCCATTTGTTTTCCACTCGTGACCATGCTTGTCTCAAACAAGCGTGCTGTGGTAACATTTGAAGACCTATCATGTCAAACTAAAAACGTCATATGGCATTAAACGTACCCCTTGTGGATTGATGTTTGTTGGAGAGACACAACAGATATCATCGACATGGGTCAACTACCACAGATCGGGTAGCAACAAAATGGTTTCCAATTGTGTCTACCAATATTTCAATTCTGAAAATCACTCCATCATTTGCATGGAAGTAAGAATATTAGAGAAAATACACCACCCATCTTATTGCCTTAAATGCAATCGACCTTATAGAATGACGATAGAAATAGATACATGAATATTTTCAGATTTAATAATAATTAACAATCTCATAATTTTTTTGGATAAGACATTTAGGCAAAAAATAGGCATCAATTGTGCCCCTTTCTTGCTGATATGTTTCTTTATCCATATGATGGGGCGGTCGGGTAGCCTAGTGGTTAAAGCGTTCGCTCGTCACGCCGAAGACCCGGGTTCGATTCCCGACATGGGTACAATGTGTGAAGCCCATTTCTGGTGTCCCCCGCCGTGATATTGCTGGAATATTGCTAAAAGCGGCGTAAAACCATACTCACTCACTCACTCATTATCATTATGAATAAGAATTTCGGATCGGATTGGCAAGGTCATAACAATGCAATCTGGCCAAGAAGCTTAACTTAAGGTTCAGGTATATCGATGATTTGATATCGTTCAATAACAATCAAATAGCCAATTCCCTTCCACTGGTTTAACCACCTGAACTAGAAATAAAGGAGACCAGTTACACCGTTTCATCTGTTTCACATTAAGGTCAATGCATAAAGATTCAGAGTGACAAAACACTGTCCACAAGACAAGGGGAAAGGATGACTTCAACTTTCCAATGGTCAACTTCACCTTTATGTCAAGCAATATTCCTGTAGCTCCAGCCCTTGGTATCTACTTTTCCCAGCTTTCGAGGTACAATCGAGTATGATCTTTCTTCCAAGATTTCAAAGGGCGTCATACGACTCTTGTTCAGAGGTTGTTGAACAAGGTTACACAACTCAAGGCCACGGTAAAAAGCTTTCAATTTTTTATTGTAGACATGTGGAGGACATTTCCAAATTTGACGCATTAGTGACAGGATGTCCGATGCAATTCCCTATTTTGACTTGAACCAAATGTTCCCGTGGTTTGTCAGGTGAACAATTGATTTGCCTTTGCATGTGTTTGTGACGGGTGCAACCGGTGGTACAGGATACGCTTCCCTTTTTCGAGAACACCTGGTATCATCACTATTTGATAGTGATTCATAAACACATGCTATAGTCGGAATCGTACAATCGATATTTCTCATGAATATGCAAAGGGTTTAGTCGCTATTATTTACTGCACATCTTTAGAAAAGCAGACGGTGCTAATGAATATCTGAGCCTAAGTCCCTGGTATCATGACCGTCAGGATAAAATCAGTCTTCCTCTCGGCAAAGTTATTTAATCCGGACAAAGACAATTGTGTGTTCATCGAACGCCCCTGGACATTGGGCTGAATTTCCATTCAATGAGGAATAATTCTCTAAGATTATTATATTTACATTTGTATATATAGTATTTCGTTTGTTTGGTGTTTAACGCCACACGTTCCAGTTTTATGAATAATCGAGTTTGGACCAGATAATTAATGAAAATTAGCATGTGAAGTAATAGTCGTTGAATATTAATAATGTGAATAATATATGCATTAAACACCCAGTATTTCGCTTCCCAAGACGACAATATTTTGCAATTCACGTATTACAGTTTATGAAAAATTAATTCTAGCCCCTAAAATTATAACAAATTTATTTGATGTTTATAGACGATTATGCAAACGGGATATAAGAGTTTGGACATGTTTTTTTTTTATATAAAAGCAGTTACAATATCTTGTAAAATATTTCGAGTTTAAGTAAGACATTGTGCTGTTCGAAGTATTTCCTTTTACCTTTTGAGTTCTACAAGTACTTGAAAACTAACTTTGCTCTACAAGATGCTTCATTTATTACCAATAATGTAATTTAAAAAAAATCGGAAATTCATTTCAATTTGAAAGAATCATCCTTCACATAGTTATGTATGTTTTAAGACGCACGGAAACAACGTTATTTTTAAAACAGACATTCAGTGAAGCGACAACCGTTGATTGCCAAGCTATGGAACGCGTATATGTATAAAGTATTACTCATCACAGCCTACTTGATAGCAACAAGGGGTGGCATCGAGGAAGGCTCAAGGTACCTTCCCACATAAAGTAGAAGCTGATGGAAGTTTTTTTCTGAATCTATAAGCAAGACAATTGCGGAGGCAGCGCATCTTCCAATCTGGTGGCTCGAGTGCGATGGTGGTTTGTTAAAGAGATAGCCGGACTACGGGAGATGTGACGTCGATCGATCAGGGAGACAGCTACAGAGGGCTCCACTAACGACTGAGAGTGTGTGGGATTCAGATCAAGTCCACGGATCGCTTTTCTCAGTGTCTAGAGAACTGTGAAAAAACATGGAAGCTAGTTTACTGAAGGTTACATTTCAAAACTTTCTTAGTTGGACTACTGCAAAGCTGTAGGAATGCGATGGGGCCGATCTGCTTTCGGTGAAATAAAGGTATGTACGTGTGTGAAAACAGTTAACAGGATTACACTTCTTTGATTTCAGTGTTTTATAATTTTTGTGCGAAATATAAAGGTGATTTAATTAGTTAAAGTATTGGGGAAGTAAAGGGCGTGACACTTCCAGATGGTAGTAAGGATAGTTGAGTTTGTCCCCTTGAACTGATTTAAGAAATCGCTTCAGATTCACCAGCAGAACCAAGTTGCCTCACAGTATTTGAAGAGGGTGTGTTTAAATTGTGATGCTATACAACATGACGAGAGGTTATATCAAGGCTAATTTTAACAGGTACCATTTTTATTCGCTTCGATATAATGAATATGTAAAAGTGTAATACTTTTACATTGCATTTTAGTACTAAATTGATGTGAGGTAAAACACACAATATTATTATGATGATGTAATAATATGAGCTTGCTTTCTGGCGTAATAGCACCACACCCTAGTATGTTTGTCGTGTGAAAAAAGACAACAACAAACATGAATATATACTATTCAAAAATGGTTAAGAAAACCCGATCATTCCATATTTCTGTAATCATGGCACAACACAGATTAACAATTGTAATATGAAATAATCTGAACCTGAATTGTTTGAGTAATACGTTAATAAATATGTTTTAACAAAGTGATGTCCATCTCTTCAACAAGAGTTCAGAGTTTAGTTTGCAATGCAACATGGGTTGTTCGTCGGTGCGTCTGCAGAGAAGGATACAACGGTGTAACACGTAATGTCAGGACAATGTACCGGCTCCCACGACCCACAACACTTATCTTAAGTTGCAAGTTCTCGTGGCAATGGGATTTGGGCACCTAGAGACTGCGGGAAACGCCAGCACTCTCACCATTGACTTGGGTCTGACGAGAAGAGATTATGAAGAGGCAGAGCAAAGTGCTGCTGGTCACCTGGAGGTGGTAAACACCACCCTCATAGGGCATTAGCACGCAGGGGTTCCACAACTTAGCAGCTAGGCATTGTCAAGGAGGCGGCCACTTCATGCAATCATGTAATTTGCCCACATACATCACCTACTTTCCATTCCCAAGCTACATTACCCTCCTATAATACTTAGACATTCAGACAGAAATAATTGTCCAAATTCTTCAAAAGGTACAGATTTTCCGTGAAAGCTATCTGTGAGTCACGCTTCTTTCAACACTGCTGATGGATACGCATTGATCTTCGACATATTGTTCTCAGTCGTGTTAAGACAAATACGACCATACTGTTAGCCATTGGCTGAACTAATTAACCTGCGTCATGAAAGAGTTGTGTTCGTCGTTTTTGTATGTCCTATTCCTCCCTTCTAAGTAGCGCAAGTTGCGCGAGAACAAATGAGTCAGCAAATCTGAAAATTTTAAAATGGTATGAATATTCAAACAAAGAAACCACTTAACAGATATATATAGTATATGTAGATATTATTGTGAACAAAGGCGACAAAACCATTTCCATAAACATGATAAATCTCTGCTAAAAGCAAAGTCTATTGTATACTCCCGACGATACGATGTTTATGAATCAGTGTTAATAAGATCACTTATTTCAGAGGAACGGACCCTTATGGTAATACCTAAACACAGAACGGCACTCTATATCTGCAAGACACGACGATGCGTGTCGCTATTCTTCCTGGCGTGGTGCGCTGAAAGCTTAAAGTATCCTATTGACGTATGACGATGCATTTTGGTTCGAAGAATAGTTTCCCAAGTAGATTATGTGATGTGAATCTATGACAGGATTGGCCGGAGAACATTAGCGCTAAGCTGTATCTATGCAGCTGCAGCATTAGTCCGAAATCCGGACAAGGACCAACCTACAGTAGGTAATCTTCTATGCTGACTTGTATTGAAATGTCATTAGCTTGGCCTCGCAGAGTGCATTTATATATTAGAACTGACGCCGTTGGTGTGTCTTCAGTAGACCAACGCCGTAAATCCCCCGTATTTGCCTCAGGGGCGATTACATGTTACACTGGCAACTGTTGGGCACAGTCTTTACTTATTAAGGTCACACCCTTATTTCAACTTGGCACAATTACATACAAACCGCCATCCATATGTTTGTCATGTACTCCATCTCACCACCCATGTAAAGGATGAGAAAACATGGCGTTTCAATTTCTACATGTATACGCCACGCATGTTCATTGTTTGTACCCATCGGTTCTATAAATATGAAGGAATTGTTATTGGAACATGGATGACGTCATTATGAAAAGTAGCAATACGAGTGGATGCACGGATGTAGGCAGACATTATGTGAAGAAGGCGTAACATAAGGAAATAGGCGTCATGCATGTTGTTGACAGGCATACTGGAGGTAGCATTGACTACAATATTTACCGGAAAACTGACGATGCTATTCATTTTCACGAGCAATGTTGGAAACCAGCACGTTAATGTGCACGGACAATTAGGTGAGTAACAATTTACCTTCAGACTTTAACACATTACTTATATTATTACAAGAGGGGTGACTTCAACTTTCCAGTAGTCAACTTTCCCTTTCTGTCGAGCAATATTCCAGCAGCTTCAGCCTTTGGTGTTTACATGTTACAAATTGTGACTACAATCGAGCACGCTCTTTCTACGGATACTTCAATGATCGTCGAACGACTCTTGCTCAGAAGTTGTCTAATCAAGGTTACTACAATCAAGCCCTCAGTAAAAGCTTTCATTTTTTTTGTAGACATGTGGAGGACATTTACAAACTTGACGCATTAGTGACAAAAAGATGTCCGATGCAATTTTAACTTGTACCATATAGTCTCGTGTTTTGTCAGATGAACAATTGATTTGCCTTTGCATGTGTTTGTGACGGGTGCCACCGATAGGGAAGGATGTGCTCACCGTTTCGAGAACACCTAGCATCATCACCATTTGGCAGTGATTTCATATGAATATGGAAAGTTTAACGTGGCGTATTTCGTTTATCTGTTTTATTGGTAGAACCGTTCTGTTAGTCTATCGACCTGAACACAGCCACTAACACGTCTCCCTCTACCGACCAGAACACAGCCACTTGCTGGTCTCCCACTACCGATCAGAACACAGCCACTTGCTGGTCTCCCACTACCGATCAGAACACAGCCACTTGCTGGTCTCCCACTACCGATCAGAACACAGTCACCTGCACGTCTCCCACTACCGACCAGAACACAGCCACTTGCACGCCCTAATCTGCCGGCCTGAACACAGTCACCTGCACGTCTCCCACTACCGACCAGAACACAGTCACCTGCACGTCCCCCACTACCGACTAGAACACAGTCACCTGCACGTCTCCCACTACCGACCAGAACACAGTCACTTGCACGTCCCCCACTACCGACTAGAACACAGTCACTTGCTGGTCTCCCACTACCGATCAGAACACAGCCACTTGCTGGTCTCCCACTACCGATCAGAACACAGCCACTTGCTGGTCTCCCACTACCGATCAGAACACAGTCACCTGCACGTCTCCCACTACCGACCAGAACACAGTCACTTGCACGTCTCCCACTACCGACCAGAACACAGTCACCAGCACGCCTCCCTCTACCGACCAGAACACAGGCACTTACACGTTACCTACTACCGACCAGAACACAGTCACTTGCACGTCTCCCACTACCGACCAGAACACAGCCACATGCACGTCACCTACTACCGACCAGAACACAGTCACCTACACGTCACCTACTACCGACCAGAACACAGTCACCTGCACGTCTCCCACTACCGACCAGAACACAGCCACTTGTACGTCTCCCACTACCGACCAGAACACAGCCACTTGCACGTCTCCCACTACCGACCAGAACACAGTCACCTGCACGTCTCCCACTACCGACCAGAACACAGTCACCTGCACGTCTCCCACTACCGACCAGAATACAGCCACATGCACGTCTCCCACTACCGACCAGAACACAGTCACCTGCACGTCTCCCACTACCGACCAGAACACAGTCACCTGCACGTCTCCCACTACCGACCAGAACACAGCCACATGCACGTCACCTACTACCGACCAGAACACAGGCACTTACACGTCACCTACTACCGACCAGAACACAGTCACCTGCACGTCTCCCACTACCGACCAGAACACAGCCACTTGTACGTCTCCCACTACCGACCACAACACAGCGACTTGCACGTCTCCCACTACCGACCAGAACACAGTCACCTGCACGTCTCCCACTACCGACCAGAACACAGTCACCTGCACGTCTCCCACTACCGACCAGAATACAGCCACATGCACGTCTCCCACTACCGACCAGAACACAGTCACCTGCACGTCTCCCACTACCGACCAGAACACAGTCACCTGCACGTCTCCCACTACCGACCAGAACACAGCCACATGCACGTCACCTACTACCGACCAGAACACAGGCACTTACACGTCACCTACTACCGACAAGAACACAGTCACCTGCACGTCTCCCACTACCGACCAGAACACAGTCACCTGCACGTCTCCCACTACCGACCAGAACACAGCCACTTGTACGTCTCCCACTACCGACCAGAACACAGCCACCTGCACGTCTCCCTCTACCGACCAGAACACAGTCACCTGCACGTCTCCCTCTACCGACCAGAACACAGCCACCTGCACGTCTCCCACTACCGACCAGAACACAGTCACCTGCACGTCTCCCACTACCGACCAGAACACAGTCACCTGCACGTCTCCCACTACCGACCAGAACACAGCCACCTGCACGTCTCCCACTACCGACCAGAACACAGCCACCTGCACGTCTCCCTCTACCGACCAGAACACAGTCACCTGCACGTCTCCCTCTACCGACCAGAACACAGTCACCTGCACGTCTCCCTCTACCGACCAGAACACAGCCACCTGCACGTCTCCCTCTACCGACCAGAACACAGCCACCTGCACGTCTCCCTCTACCGACCAGAACACAGTCACCTGCACGTCTCCCTCTACCGACCAGAACACAGTCACCTGCACGTCTCCCACTACCGACCAG